GCTCCACCAGCAGCTCCCCATATGCGCCCCCCAGCCACTGCAGCTGTGTGCCCGACCGGTGAGTGGGCCTATGCGTCCGAGTGTGTGTGTCAGTTTGGGCCTGTGTCACTTGCCTGACATGGGGTGGTCTTGAGTTGGACACACCTGGCTTCTAATTTCACTTCTGTTCCTCACGTGGCTCTGCCAAGTCACTGAGTCTCTCTGAGCTCCTATGTTCCTGAGCCTCAGTTTCCTCATCTGTGAAATGGGGATAATACCGCCTGTTCCCTAAGGTACCTGTGAGCACTGAATGAGGTATACAACGCACATGAGTGCCCAGAGCTGTGCCTGGCACTGGGCAAGTATACTGCTCGGTATCTGGAGCTCCTCTTCCCGGGTGGACCTGGATCCTGCTGTCAGGCTGATGTCTGAGAATGCTTCAGCAGGTGTCTGGGCGTCTGCCATGTTACCAGGAACACTGTGTGCATGGCATTTGTGAGAGGGCCATGTGCCCACCCTTGATGCTTTCACTGGCTGCTTTTTCACCTGTAACTTCATCCTAACCCTGTTACGCCTGTTGACCCTCAGATGGCTCTCTCCATTTTCACACGAAGACACCAAGATATACTAACGCAAAGTTAGTTGCCCAAGATCCCTGGGGTGGTTGGGGACCAGGCTGGGCCCCCAGCAGCTCTACCCAGAGTAGCTGGCAAGGCCAGGGAGCCCTTGACACGTTCCCGGGCTGTAGATCCTGCTCCCTGTACCACCCAAGCTCCTCACCTGCCCCCTGAGCCTGAAGGTCCTCCCTCTTTAGTCCTCCCGCCGGAGGAGCAGCCCTGAGTCAGGCTGATCCCACAGGTTGCCCCTCAGGCTGCTGTGTGAGAGCATGAAGAGGCAGATCGTGTCCCGGGCCTTCTACGGCTGTGAGTGTGGGGTGAGGTGGGGCCGCCGGGGGGGGTCACCGTCCGCACCCACCTGTCGGCGCTGGTGCATCACAGCATCGTCCCGCCCGCCCGGCCCCCGGGGGCCTCGGGGGGCCTCACCAAGGACGTGTGGAGCAAGTATCAAAAGGATGCAAAGGTGCGTGCTCTGGGATGCCAGGCTCCGGGGTGGCTGGGCAGGAGGCTGCAATGAGAGCCGCCCATCATGCTCTGCGAGTGGCTGTCACAGACCAAATGGGCGTTTGGGTGAAACGTGGTGCAGGCTTGGAGGTGACGGGCCAGGACGGATGGCCGTGGAGTACGGGGGTCACGGTGGAGTCTCGGACAACCAGGCCTGTGGTCTCCACGGGAAAGAGACCAGACAGGGAGTCTTCTCTGCTTCTGCATGGAGACCCTCTGCATCTCTCCAGGCTCCTTTCCTGCCCTGGAGGGGTTGAAGTAGATCTTCCTACAGTTTCGGGGCGGTGCATGGATGTGACAGTCCCAGAACCATCCCTGGCCCCAGCCCCGGCTCTCCAGCGCATGGGGTCGCCCAGCCGGCCCATACAGTCTTGCCTCCCTGGGTCCCTCAGAACTATAAGGAGCTGGAGCTGCTGCGGCAGGTCTACTATGGAGGCGTGGAGCACGAGATCCGCCAGGACGTCTGGCCATTCCTGCTTGGCCACTACAAGTTTGGCATGAGCAAGAAGGAGATGGAGCAGGTGAGGGGGAGGATGGGGGCACAGGTGGGGAGAGCCAAGCCAGGGGAACCCGGGGAGTGGAGGGGCGCCTCAGAAACCTCGGTCTCTTCCTAGCCCGAAAGATACAGGGCAGAGTGGTGCCGCCATCCTCACCCCCGGGCCCGGCCCAAGTCTCCGGCTGTCCCGGGAGGACGGCCGCCGAGGGGGGCCTGGTGCGCCCCTCCCCCCCACGGTCACGCTGTGGTCTGAGCACAGGTGGACACAGTGGTGGCAGCGAGGTACCAGCGGGTGTTGGCGGAGTGGAAGGCCTGCGAGGTGGTGGTGAGGCAGCGGGAGCGGGAGGCTCACCCAGCCACACTCACCAAGTTCTCCTCGGGCAGCAGCATCGACAGCCACGTGCAGCGCCTCGTCCACCGAGACTCCACCATCAGCAATGACGTGAGCCCGACGGGACCGGGGTCCGGGGCGGGGCCACCGGCGCTGTGGGCCTGACCTCTGGTGCTCGCGGGCAGTGGGGCCCTGGAGCACACGCCTCCACATGCCCGTGTGTCTCGTTTCCTTGCACTGAAAGATGGGATGACGGCCCCCCTGCTGCCTGTTTGGCGTATTGTGTTCTGTCCTAATGGACTAGCAGAGGAGGGTGGATTTATGGGGAATTAGGGAGGCCCTCCTTCTCTGGGGCTTCCCTGGTGGCTGAGACAGTGAAGAATCTGTCTGCAATGCAGGAGACGCAGGTGTGATCCCTGGAGAAGGAAACGGCAGCCCACTCCAGTATTCTTGCCTGGAGAACTCCATGGACAGAGGAGCCTGGCAGGCTGCAGTCCATGTGGTTGCAAAGAGTCAGATACGACTGAGCGACTAATACTTCAACACTTTTCCCTCTTTGTAGAGAGACCTCAAGGCTAGGATTGGGTCTCCCTGGGTTCCAGTCCTAAGTCCACTAGTGACAGGATGAGTGACTTCTCTTCCCATCTCTGGGGCTCAGTGCCCCCTCTCAGCTCCTCTGATTATAGAGGCTTCTCCTAGAGCTGAGACTGGGAGTGGGTGTGCACTTGGAGCAGTCCTATCTCATAGAGTTGGCCATGAGAAGCCAGTTCAGAGCCTGTGTGGTTCTTCCCATATCACCCCTGACTTGTAGGTGAACATCAAGTCCCAATCTATGGCTGCTGGGCACAACTAGAACTGAAAAGTTTCAGTTTTTAGGACATTCTTTTATTAACTAATTTTTTTTTCTTTAAGACTGCCTCTCTAGATAATGTATATTCTTGTTACTTAACTCCTATTAACTGAAAACTCAAGTTGGAGCAAGACTTAAAAAGAAATATAACTGCCAAGGCATCCTCTCCTTTCCATGGTCTTTGTTCTGAATCCCATGTTTGTGAACAGATTCTCTTTCTGCTTCGGGTTTTGTTAAACCCCGAGTCTGAACCAGTGCCCCAGCTGCTTAGCTTGTGGACACAAGTAGCCTTTCTCACAGGCACTAATCTAACAGCACTTTGTGCTTCTTGCCCAAAGTGAAAACTCCTTTTAAGCATCCCTTCCCTCCATAGTCCAAATAGAAAAATGAGACAGAACCGTCCAGATATGTCTTCTTCTTTTCCCTGTGACTTGTCTGTGGGAGTGTATGGACCGTTCCCCAGTCAGTAGAACATGTTTCTTTTTTCCTTCTTCCTTCTCCTCAGCTTATCCTCAGCTAATCTAACTGATGAGGTACTTGCTAGAGAGGTTTCCTGCCTTGTTCTACTACTGCACACTCAGTCCTGAAAATAAGGAAGAACTCGTTTTTCCTAACACCTCCAGCCTGCCACGTCCCCGGGCTGCCCCAGAGGCCACACCACGACACTGTGGAAGCTGTCCCGGCCCGAGGCAGCCCATGACGGCTGTGTTTGTAGAGGCTCACTTACTCACACTGGCCATCAAGTGTCCAGGCCTCCGTCCTCCTTCTTCCCTTCACACTTTTTCTCACCAACGTGAGGCCAGATGGGGCTGGAGACGGCGTTTTCATGTTTTCCCGGAGCCTGATCAGCTGGGTCGGGGGGTTGGGGGGTGTTGTTTGGCCCTCCCCCCTGGGGAGGCAGTGCTGGGGAGCCATAGGGTGGGAGTGGGGATGTAAGGAGAATTGTGTCCCTTTTGGTTCTGACCCTGGAAGAGAGGCTGAGCTGAGGGTGGTGCCAGAGGGCAGGCATGAGCCCCACTGTCTTCACGCCCCCCCTGTCCAACAGGTGTTTGTCTCTGTGGATGACCTGGAGCCTCCAAGGCCCCCGGGACCTGAAGACCCCAGACCAGAGGCTGAGCTGGGGGCAGAGGCAGGGCCCACAGGCATGGTCATGGTGGAGCAGCAGTCGGTAGAGTTCGACTCTCCAGACTCAGGCCTGCCTTCCTCCCGCAACTACTCCATGACCTCGGGCATCCAGTCGAGCATAGACGAGGGCCAGATGGGCTTTGAGGAGGACGACGGTGCTGGGGAGGAAGGCTCTGCTGAGATGGTTCCCGAAGCCCAGGTCTCCGAGCCCCAAGAACCCGGCCAGGAGAAGGCCTCGAGGGCCAGCGAGCTGGAGCCGGGAGAGGAGCTCGCGGCCGTGTGCGCCGCTGCCTACACTGTATGTGCTCGTTCCCCAGGCATTGTTCTCAGCGGCCCCAGAGGCAGGGGACAGCGGGGTGGCCTGGACTGTCCTGGAGGGGAGCACTGGGCCCCTCCCTCAGCAGACACTCAGGACTCTGTGCTCCGAGGCCTTGGCTCCCTGCCCGCGCTGTGTTCCTTTATTCGGGCATCACCTCTGGCCCTTGACTTACCCCTGAGGGCCCTCCACTCTTCTAGATAGAATTACTGGACACCGTGGCCTTAAACCTGCATCGCATAGACAAGGACGTGCAGCGATGTGACCGCAACTACTGGTACTTCACAACCCCCAACCTCGAGCGGCTCCGAGACATCATGTGCAGGTGCCACTGGGGGCCGGGCTGGGCGGGGGGCGGGGACCCTGCTCTCTGCAACGTTAGGTCCAGCAGTGCCCTGCTCCCCGGCCCTGTGCCCGTCTCATGATCGACTCCCTAGTCTGTGTGTCCCCCCTCCTGTCATTCTTGAGGCCTTTCAGATCTCAGCTTTAGCCATGCTTCTCCAGGAAGCCTCAGCTGGTCCCCACCAGCACGTTGGGGGTGGTGATGGCTTGTCCCATCTCTCCCCAAGGGCCTGGAGAACAGTGGCTGTGGATGGTTCAGTATAGCACTCCAGTGCTTCAGGGTGGAGGAAAGGCTGACCTCTGGGTAGCCGACTGGTCTAGGGGTCATCTCCCCAGGAGTCCCCAAAGGGAGGGGAGGACAGTGCACAGCCACAGAGACCCCCTGCTGTTTCAGCTATGTGTGGGAGCATCTGGACGTGGGCTACGTGCAGGGCATGTGTGACCTGCTGGCACCTCTCCTGGTCGTCCTGGACAATGGTGAGGAGAGGGCGGTGGGACTGGGCCTGGGCCGATCCAAGCTGGGGAAAGGAACGGGATGGCGTGGTCTGCATGGGGGTAGGGAACGTGAGCCAGCTCTGCCCCCCCTCCCTGCCAGCCTCACGCCCACCTCCCCCACAGACCAGCTGGCCTACAGCTGTTTCAGCCACCTCATGAAGAGGATGAGCCAGAACTTCCCCAATGGGGGTGCCATGGACGCCCACTTTGCTAACATGCGCTCCCTTATCCAGGTGAGATCCGCAGCGAGCGGGGGCGTGTGATAGGGCAGAGCTGGGCTTGTTCATTATCCACGGGAGGCTGGGGAGCGCTCCCAAAATGTGTTTTATGTATAAGCTTAGTTTCTTTCATTGAAAAATAAAAACCAGGAGAAGGAAATGGCAACCCACTCCAGTATTCTTGCCTGGAAAAGTCCATGGACAGAGGAGCCTGGAGGGCTGTGGTCCATGGGGTCACATGACTGAGCACGCCATGCATGAGGGTGGAGGGAGACAGGTTGTAGCAATAAACTGGTAGAACTAAAAAATAACTAAAAATAAAAACCCAAAACCCCATCATTTTCAACCTTACCAGTTGAGGAGGAGTGTTGGTGTATGAATGCTTATGCTTGTGAGCGTTCTGGCGAGTAGTGTGGCCAATGATGAAATCACCCAGAAAATGGCATCATTCCAAAGAGGACATCCCAGAGAAATGGGTGGGGCTGCAGGGTACAGCCCTGCCCTGGGAGAGAGACAGGAGGGGCAGATGCAGCTGCCAGGGGGGCACCTGAGGGGCCTGGGGGTGGGGAACACAGGGCGCTGGGGACAGTGCCCACACCTATTCAGTCCAGCGCCCTTTCTCCATTCAAACCAGATCCTGGACTCAGAGCTGTTTGAACTCATGCATCAGAATGGAGACTACACCCACTTCTACTTCTGTTACCGCTGGTTCCTGCTGGATTTTAAGAGAGGTGAGAGGTGGGCTGGAGGGCAGGCCTGGGGTCGGGGCAGTGGGACATCCCCAGAGTCACTGCTTCTCAACCCACACCGCATTGTGGAACCCCTCTGAGGAGCCCTGGTCCTCACCAAGCCCCGGACTTACTAAGTGTGGTGACTTTAAAAGCCATTAGGTGAATCCACAGTGTAGCCCTGGTTGAAAATAACCCAAAGGCAATGGTTTTCAGAACTGTTTTCAAACCAAGTCCTCCTGAGCACCAAAGCCTATAGAAGTAGAGCTACTCTAGTGTGATGTGGCCTCCACGGGAGGCCAGGGTGCAGGAACGACCACGGAGGAGGGCGGGGCTTACCCAGCTCCAGTGGTGCGATTGTGCGTGGTACCTGTAAGAGGAAGGGCGGGGCCTTGCCTGGGAGCCACCCTCTCCACCGGGCCCTGCGGTGGACTGGTCCTGGAACCCGGGCCCTGAAGCTCTGTCTCCGCACGAGGCGACCGGTGGCGGCCAGGCCCAGTCTCAGCCCCCTCGCCATCCCCAGAGCTGCCGTACGAGGATGTGTTCGCTGTGTGGGAGGTGATCTGGGCGGCCCGGCAGATCTCCTCGGAGCACTTTGTCCTATTCATCGCCCTGGCCCTGGTGGAGACCTACCGAGAGATCATCCGCGACAACAACATGGACTTCACCGACATCATCAAGTTCTTCAACGGTAGGAGCCATCAGCTGTGCCGGCTGCCCCTGCAGGGCTGTTGGCGGGGGCGAGGGCCTCTACCCCTGGTCTGGGCAGGGTAGAGGGTGTCTTAGGAATACTGGCCGGCCCGTAAGGGAATGTCAGGAGTCCAGGCGGAAATAGAGCCGGGTGGGCGGACCCCGGGCTCCTCCCGGACTGCTGCCCCCACCCCCCCTCAGTTATCCATGTCTCCCCCAGAGCGGGCTGAGCATCACGACGCCCAGGAGATCCTGAGGATCGCCCGGGACCTAGTCCACAAGGTGCAGACGCTCATAGAGAACAAGTGAGGCCGCGGCCAGGAGGCAGCCGCCCGCCAGAGCCTGGGCTCCCGGCCCCGGGGCCCCATGGCAGCGAGGTGCAGGGGCGGTGCAGCCAAGACTGCCCCAGCCCCCAGCCCCCAAGCCTGCCCCACTGTGTTCTAACAAAGTGCTTGTGAGCCTGGGATCTGACTCCGGGCAGTGCTGGCCCCGCCGGGCAGCGCAGGGGCCAGAAGGCCCTAAGGTCAGGGCTGGGAAGGGAGGGGTCAGCCTCAGGGAATGACTGCCTTGGGGGACACCTACTCTGCTCCCCTCCCAAATACCTGGGGACAGCCCCACTGCCACTGGCATCCTGAGCCTGGACAGCTCCCTGTGGCCTCCCTGGGGCCCTGTAGACTTAGGAGGGCTGTGGTTGCCTGGGCCCCAGCTGGGTGGATTGAGGGGACCCGGGGCTGTATCTCTTCTGAGAGCCCCTCTGCAGGCCCAGTGCCTGTGCACACACCAGCCCCAACGGGGGTAGGAGGAACAGCTGCCAGTCTGGGTGTGTGTCCTGGATGCAGGAGACCTGGGCTGTAGCCCAGGCCCTCCCCTGAGACTGCGGGACAGCCCAACAACATGGGCCCTGGTGGGAACAACCCACCTTAGCAGCACTGCCACTGCCTTTGGCCACCCGAGGTGACCCCGTGCACCATCCCCCACCCGCCAAGCCTGCACAGTGCACCCACGTGTATCTGTACAGTGTCACTCAGCACCCTGCTCCTGCTTCGTGTGTTAGATGCATCCCTGAAAACTGTGTGAGCGATGCTTTCGCCAGCAGAATGACCTGGAATGTGGCAGAAGCACCTGCACAGGAACCCCAGGGTGATTCTTTTAAGGAGGCGGTCCTTTCATGGCCTCCTCTCAGGAACAGGCTCTGGAGCCCCAGGCAGCCCACCATCTGTTCCCGGCATCTGCTGAGTCCCTGAGGTGAAGGGGAGGGTGCTTGGATCTCCCCAGTCTGTTCTTGGCAAGAAGCAAGGCTCGCTCTTCCTTTCCACATGCTTCTCAGGATGCCGAGGATGCTAGAGACCCAGGAACCCCCTTGGAGGAGCCTCACTCACAAATGTGCTAGGGGGGCCCCAGCTCCTGACCCCAGGCAGACCTAGTCATACCGCTTGCTCCGTCATCCCCACTGCCCCTCTCTTCAGTACAAGCAGGATGGTCCTTGTTCTGGGGCCAGGAGGCTGCTCTGCCACAGGGGCTGGGCCTGCCCAGCAATCACTGAGGTCTGGAGACTTCCTGCATTTGAGAAACGTGGGAAAGAGCCCAGCAACCCCTCTGCATCCCACACAATCTCCCTAGCCCCGGGCACTGCACAGCCTGTTTAGGGGCAGCCTGCCCCATTGCCCACCTGTCGCTCATGAGTCCTTGGCCTCCACCAAGTATGGTGGCCGTTGTGTGCCTGCCTTAGTGACTCTGGTTTTGTGAGGAGCAGAATGTGTATGTTTTTTGGCTCAGAAACTATACTCTTCAGTGTAACAGACCAATAAACACAGCATTTGGCAATGCTCGAGGCTCTGGTGGCTATTTGTGGGCTGGCACTGGACAGTGAGTGACTGTGTGTGCTGGGGAATTCTGTAAGCTCCACGACTGAACAGTAAAGAGGACTAGCTCCACAAGGCCAGGATGGTGAAAAAAGAGAGAGAACCAAGGTTTCCAGAAGTGAGGGACGCTGGTGGTGGAATGGTTGAAGGTGAGAGCCAGACTCAAGTACCTGGAGAGAACCTTTGGGGGGACCTCACCCCAGAGCCAGCAGTCCTGAGCAATGGCCTCTCCAGCCTCTGGATGCATGTGGGTCCCTGCCTGCCTTCCTGACTGGTTACAGGGATGAGCTGGAGCTCAACTGGGAATTTACAAGACCTCCCAGCCCCTCTAGCCAGTGGGAAAGGCCCCTGCCCTTCTGGCCGTGGCTCCTCCTGCCCACTGAGCACTGTCTTCCAGATGCCTGCTTCAGGTGGGAGTGGGGAGGAAGGTAGTGGCAGGAGAGGTCAAACTCAGGAATGGAAAGAGCTGGACTAAACAGCAGGTTCCTGTCCACCTGCCCCACCTCAGGGGGCCAGCCCGTCACCCATAGTTCCCGGAGAGGGCATGTCGTCTGGTATAGAGGACACTAGCTTTCTGGGGATTAGGGTCTACTGTTAAAGTTGTCAGAGTTTTCCAGGCAAAGAAACCAGCTGACATCAGTAACTCTGGGACCAGGACCTTATAAATAAGCCCCTCAAGGGGAACATTCCCCACCCCCAAGCTGACCGTGTAGCCCGGAGTGATCAGAATTCCCCGTTAAAACATCTATTCAGATAAACACTCTTACCAAAGTGGGTGTAGAAGAAATATATGTGCTATACTTACTCAGTCATCTCCAACTCTTTATGACCCCGTGGACTGCAGCCTGCCAGGCTCCTCTGTCCATAGGGATTCTCCAAGCAAGAATACTGGAGTGGGTTGCCATGCCCTCCTCCAGGGGATCTTCCCAACCTAGGGGATTGAACCCAGGTCTCTCGCATTGCAGGCTGATACTTTACCGGCTGAGCACTAGAGAAGCCCAAGAATACTGAAGTGGGTAGCCTATCCCTTCTCCAGCGGATCTTCCCCAACCCAGGAATCAAACTGGGGTCTCCTGCATTGCAGGCGGATTCTTTACCGGCTGAGCCACCAGGGAAGCCCACAGAGGGAATACATCTCAACATAATAAAAGCTATTTTTGACTAAGCCATAGCCAACGTAATACTCAACAGTGAAAAGCTGAAAGCTTTCCCACTAAAATCTGGAAAAAAGATGCCCACTCTCACCTGTTCTATTCAAGAGCATTGGAAGTCCTGGCCACAGCAATCAGAAGAAATTTAAAACATACCCACATTGGAAAAGAAGAGGTAAAATTGTCACTATATGCATGATAACTATATAAAGAGAATCCTAAAGACTCCACACAAAAATACATTCAGCAAGGTAGCAGAGCACAAGATTAACATACAGAAAGCTGTTGCATTTCTTTACAATAACAATGAAATACCAGAAAGTAAAAAAAAAGAAAAAGAAAAATCCTTTTAAAATTGCAACAAAAAAATTAAAATACTTAGGAATAAACCTTACCAAGGAAGTGGAAGACTTATATGCTGAGAACTACAAAACATTGATAAAGGAAACTGAAGATGAGTCAAAGAAACGGAAAGATACCCCATGTTCTTGCATTGGAAGAATTAATATTGTTAAATGGCCATAGTAGCCAAAGCAATCTATAGATTTAATGGGACTTGCTATCAAGTCTCCCAGGACATTTTTCACAGAACTAGGATAAATTATCCTAAAATTTATATGGATCCATAACCCAGAATTGCCAAAGTAATTCCAGCATTGCCAAAGCAATGAGAAAAAAAGGACAGAGCTAGAGGCATTACCCTCCCAGATTTCAGACTACAGACGTCAGACTACAAAGCTACAATAAATCCAAATAGTCTGGTATTGGCACAAAAACAGATATGGAGATCAAGGGAACAGAACAGAGAACCCAGAGATAAACCCACACACCTATGGTCAATTAATCTTCAATAAAGGAGGCAAGAGAATGGAGAAAAGACAGTTTCTTCAGCAAGTGGTTTTGGGAAAGCAAGACAGCACATGTGAATCAAAGAAGTTAGAACACTCCCTTACACTTTACACAAAAATAAACTCCAGATGGCTTAGAGACTTAAATATAAGACATGACACCATAAAACTCCTATAAGAGACCATAGGCAAAATATTCTCTGACACAAATCATACCAATGTTTTCTTAGGTCAGTCTCCCAAAGCAATAGAAATAAAAGCAAAATAAATAGGACTTAATCAAACTTATAAGCTTTTATACAGCAAAGGAAACCATAAACAAAATGAAAATATTTGCAAATGATGCAACCAGTAAGGGCTTAATCTCCAAAATATACAAACAGCTCACACAAGTAAAAAAACAAACAAAAAAAGCCAACCCAATTGAAAAAGGGGCAAAAGACCTAAATACACATTTCTCCAAGACACAGATATGGCCAATAGGCACATGAAAAGATGCTTAACATCACTAAGTATCCAAGAAAAGTTAATCAAAACTGCAATGAGGCCTCACACCAGGCAGAATGCTCATCATTAAAAAGGCTACAAATAGGACTTCCCTGGTGGTCCAGTAGTTAAGAATCAGCTTGCCAATTCAGGGGACATGGGTTCAATTCCTGGTCTGGGAAGATCCCACATCCTGACGAGCATCTAAGCCCACGAGCACCAACTACAGAGCCCTGCAGTGGAGAACGGCCCCTGCTCTCTGCAACCAGACAAAGCCTGCACGCAGCAGTGAGACACAGCCAAAAAAATGTGTTTTTTAAAAGTCTACAAATAATTTGCTGGAGAGGGTATGGAGAAAGGGGAGCCCTCCTACACTGTTGGTGGGGATGTAATCATAATTTTACATAGTGCTGCCACTATGTAAAACAGTATCCAGATTCCTCAAAAAACTAAAAGTGGAGCTGCCATATGATCCAGCCATCTCACTCCTGGGCACATATCCAGAAAAACCTTTAATTTGAAAAGATACAGGCACCCCTATGTTCCCAGCAGCGCTATTCACAACAGCCAAGACATGGAGGCAACCTAAAGGTCCATGACAGATGAGTGGATAAAGAAGGTGTGGTGCATGTACACAATGGAGTACTATTCAGCCATAGAAAATAATGCCATTTGTAGCAACATGGACTGACCTAGAGATTATCATACTAATTGAAGTCAGAGAAAAATGAATAACATATGCTATGACTTATACACAGAACTTAAAATGATACAGATGAACTTATGTGCAAAACCAACACAGACTCACAGACAACAAACTAAGTTACCAAAGGGGAAAGGGCATGGGGGATGGACAAACTAGTTTGTGATTAGCAGATTCAAATTCTCTCTCTATATATAAAATAGAGAACTATAGTCAATATCCTGTAATAAATCATAATGAAAAAGAATATGAAAAGTGTGTGTGTGTACATCTCTGAATTGCTTTTCTGTATACCAGAAATACAGAATTGTAGATGACTCCTCTAAAAACAAAGAAGAAAAAATCCCCTCTGCTGTTGATACCACCTGAAAACTCACCAAAGACCCCTGAGAACTAGCCTGGAAGTGGTTGGTTCCTTCACACACTCCCACCCCTTCTCTGCTCAACCCAGAAGTGCTGGCACTCCCAGACCCCTGGCTGGGCTTTTAGGGCCAGAGGGAACCCCACAGCCAAAATAGGTCAGCTGAGGGCTCGGTGTCAGGAGGGGAAGAGCAGGAAGCATGAGNACCCAGAAGTGCTGGCACTCCCAGACCCCTGGCTGGGCTTTTAGGGCCAGAGGGAACCCCACAGCCAAAATAGGTCAGCTGAGGGCTCGGTGTCAGGAGGGGAAGAGCAGGAAGCATGAGCAGGGTACTCTAGCCTTGAGGATACAGGTCATCACTGCCAGGGGCAGAGTCTTCGTCTCTGACCCTCGTGTTGGGCACAGCATCTGACACTGAGGTGTGTTGGGGTTACCTAACCCTGGGTCTTCCCTCAAGTGCAAGTGACCAAACATTTCCTGAAACCACCAGCAGAGGGAACCAGCGTTTCACAAATGAAATGAGCAGGCAGGATTGTTAAGGTAGTGGGGAGGGGCACTGGGCTTGGCCCTTCCTGAGATTAGATCTTCAGAGAAGGGGACCTCAAATGATTGATGGCCATCAGGCCCTTCCCCAAGATAACGCCCCACACACCTCAGGCAGACCCACCCCGGGAAGAGAAGGGGGCTGTGGTTTCAGGGAGAGCGGATGGGGCTGGCCTACGGCTTGGCCCAGCTGACTGCTTCCTGATCTTCCTCTCCCTTACCTCCCCACCTGCTCCCCATGACCTGTTCTAACTACAACCCCAAGAGTGCAGCCCCCTCTCAGGAAGCATCAGGCCCTCCTGTGCACAGACCCTCCAGCTTTTGTACTGGAACTTTCTGGAGCTTGGGATCCCCAGCTCCGGAACAGGGACAGGCCCAGGGGCAGGGTGGCACGTGCTTGGGGACAGCTCTGCGCCAGCTGACATCGGACTGCAGCTCCAGACAGGCCCTGGCTGATCACATGACCTTAACAAGTCACTCAGCCACCCTCAAACTTGTTTCCTTATCTGCTAGCTGTTGGTCTGTTTACTTCACCAAGCTGTTAAGAGATGAAACAAGATAGCGTTTGTGAAAAATGGTTTGAGGAAGTATAAAGTATTGCACAAGTATGAGGAAGACGAGCGCTGCAGTTCTCAGAGCCTGCTGAGGATGGAGCCCAAGGGGTCAGAACTGGAAGGTCCCTTGCCGTCTCTGCAAAACCCACCAGCCTGGAACCTACCAGACCCCAACCCCTCAACAGGAAAAAGACGCTGCCACTTCTTGCTGGGGCTCTTTCCCTCAAGGACTCTGCCTCCTTTTGCAACAGAACGACCCAGATGCTGCAGGTGGCAGCTCCGTCTCGGGTTTCAGTGCAGGTTTATTTCAATTTTATATTTTATTCCAGGCAAGTGCTTATTACATGGATAGTATTCATGTCTCAATACCTAACGTCTTGGAGCATGAACAGCCACTAGAATACAGTTCCATAGTAAAAATACAATATGTACAAAATTAGGGTTTTTGTAGTTTTTTTCCCACACAGCAGATGTATCCAAACACATAAAAATCTCTACAGTCTGGGGTCGCTACAATTTATATTTCAGGAAACGGAGACACAGTGACCGAGTCCTCACTGTAAACAAGGGCCACCTCTTTGTGGGGGTGGGGGCATGGGGGCGGGACTCCGGGATGGGGAGAAGAAGCTGTTCCTGGAGAGGGCAGGGGTTATGGTGACCCCCCAATTCCCTTCCAGGAATTCCCTGCCCTTCTTTGGCCCTCCTAGGAACCAACCTCCCCCTCTCCCCGAGGTAAAGACTCCCAGCCAGTGAGCCACTCTGAACATCAAAAAGTAAAACACGCATGAGAGGTAAGATATGTGTGTGTGTGTGTGTGTGTGTGTGTGTGTGCACGCGCATACACACACACGTGTGTCCCCCAGGCTGGAAGGGCTAGGGAGGGGAGGGGCAGGCGGTCCCATGGGGTGAGGACAGATGTGGTCCCCACAGCGCTCAGAGGGGAGAGGCCCAAGGAAGGGCTGGGTGGCGGCTGCCCTCTCGGGCACACGGCATCACAGCGTTCACGAACAACAACAAAAACAACAGCAACAACACCCATTGTCACCAATCTGGACATAGTCATTCGGCACTAGATTCCAAGGCCCCCCACTGCCGCAGTAGGGGGCGGGGAGGGACACGGGCAGCGGGCGGATGAGGTATCTGTGCAGGCCCGAGGGGCAACTGGCTAACAGAACAATTTCAAGGTGAGCAGGCCTGAGAGGAGGGCGGCTTGCCAGTGCTTCTGTTCCTGGGGGCCAGCCTGCCCTCCTCTCTCTGCTCTTTCCAATGTCATCACACCAGGAAGAGAAAACCAGCTCCCCCCCAAATAGGGTGATAGTGGCAGCAGCTGCAGGTGCAGAAAGGCAGCAAGCTTATGCGATGGGAGCTGCATTTGGATTGGGGGGAGGTGGGGGACAGCATCGCCTCCTAGAAACCTCTAACGTATCTGTAAGTCTCTCCACCCTGGGAGACAAGAAACAGTCTCCAGGAAGGTCTCCAGGACCAGAAACTGAAAGGGAGTTCCAAGGTGGCTCAATCTACCCAAGACCTTTGTCGGCCTCCTCTGTGAACCACGGGACCTCCACACCCCCCCACCCCGCCCCAGCCTGTCATTGCAAACTTCACACCCAGGATCACTGGCTCCCCCACCTCCACACACTCTGAAAGGCCACTGGTGAGTGTGTCCAGGTGGGGAGCCGAGTGTGCACGTGTGTAACTGAGTGTGTCCGACACAAGGCCACTTGTAATAAATACCCACATAAAAAGAGCAGCCAAAGCAGTCTGCTGAGGCGAAGGCATGGAAAGCAGTGGCCTTCACACACAGGCCCCCTCACTCCTCCCCACCCCAAGCTCAGCCCTGCCAGCGGCCCAAATGAGGGCCTTTCCTCGCAGGAAGGGGGTGGCACACAGCAGCGCCCCCTGGGGGAGGGCACATGCAAAACAGCCTGCCGGAGACAGCAGGCATTCAGGGCAAAGAAAGATGAGCCCAGGGATGGGGAAGCTGGGGCGGAAGCAACAGTCCTCTGTGGCCTGGCCATGCTTGCTCCCCACAGGTCCCCAGGGCCGAGCCCCTGGACTGTAACCTCCTGATTACCTCACCCACGCGGCGCCAGGTTCCTGGAACCCAGACCAGACGCTGGTCCTGTCTCCTAGGCAGCAGGAGGTGTCCAGGCACACTCATCCCTCCAGGGAGTGCAGAGCACGGAGCAGAACCCAGGCCTCCTTTCTATCTTCTGGAAGCCAAAGTCAAGTCCAGGGATGGGGAGAGGGTCCAGCGCACCCTCCTCCCAGGCCAGACCTGGCTGGAGGTCAACAGGGTGGCTGGGGGAGATAGTCAAGTCCCTCCTTCCTCGCCCCTGCCCTCAATCTGCCCTCTTGAAGTCAGGAGCCCAATGGCAGGGCGGTTGGGGGGGCTTGGAAGCTTGGCAAGGGCTTGGGTTTGGTTTACTATTGGTATAGAACTGTCTTAACTAGCTCGTTATGGTCAATCACAATGACTGCAACCAGCCTGGAGAGCCCCAGGCCGGAGGACCCACCTGTCTGGAGCGACGCCACACAAGCCACCTCCTAGGACTTGTCCCCTGCACTCAGAGTACTCTCCAGTCCCCCTGGATATCAGGGCCAAGTTGCTTGAGTCCTGCTTCCCCACATCCCCCTTCAGAACCCTGGAAGGAGAAGGCTGAGGCTCGGGAGGGGAGGGCCCGGGCGCCCGGCCGTCTCGCCAGACACAGCGATAGCAGCAGCAGCAGCAGAGGAAGGCGGGCAGGGCGGGGCAGGCGGAAGAACACGACATCCACATCACACTGGTGTCAGGGGACGGGTGGGGGACGGGGACGGCCCTGGAGCAGGCACCAGGCCGGACAGGTGGCACGTGGGTCAGAGCGTGTCTCGGCACTTTGTCAAGTCCTAGTGCAGCGGGGTGACCCCTGACGTGTGTCCGGCTCCCTGGGCCCCCTCCCTCCCCTGGCTCAGAGTCTCTGCACCCCCTTCCCCTAGGAGGCCTGGGGGTGGGTGTGGGTGGGGCGGGCCTGGGCCTGGCTGGAATGTGTGGAGCTGGTGGGTGGGAGAGTCGGGGACGGGTCTCCCTCCCTGCCCCCACCGGGGGCCTCTGAGCGGCCTCATCCTCAAGCCAGCTTGAGTGTGCTGACCGGGAAGGAGGGCATGGTGACCATGGTCACAGGGTTGAGCACTGTCTGGCCCACCAGCTGGGGATGGTGCACCACCTGAGCCCCCACGGCTGGCTTCGCCATGACCGTGGCCGGGGGCCCCAGCCCAGCTGTGCCATTCACTTGCTGGTGTGAGAGGGTGTGGGCGATGTGGCTCACAGCCACCGGCTGGCTCACTGCCACGGGCTGCGGGTACAAGGGCAGCTGGGAGCCAAGGTGGGCCACGTGGTTGAGGGTGGCAGGGTGCACCGTGATGTGGCTGATGGGGGGCGTGGCCGGGGCCAGCTGCACAGCAGGGCTGGGGGCCGAGGGCGCGATGTGGGCGATGTGCTTGCCCCCCGGCCCCTGGAGAACGTGGTTCACAGTCTGGATGACTGAGGCATGGGTGGTGGCGGTGTGGGCAATGACCGTGGACCCTCCCCCGGCCGCCACGAGATGGGCCGGGGCGGGCACCAGCGTTTGGGCCGGGGCCGCTGGTGGGGGCGGAGGGGCCGGCAGAGGTGTCTTCTGCTGTGGCGGGGGCTGCTGCCCAGGGAGGTGGGCAGGAGACAGGGCCACAGGCTGGGCGTGCGGGTGTGGGTGCGGAGGCAGAGGTGCGGGGGCCGTGCTGGGCGGTGGCTTCGGCAGCTCCGGGTGGGGGCGATGGCTCAGCTTATGTGGACCCAGGCCAGCCTGGTCCTCCTCCATGTCCTCGTCTATGTTGTCCTCACCCTCTGTGGAGGGACACGCAAGTAGGGACCGGTCAGAAGGGCTGGGGAATGAGAGCCTGGAGAAGCAGATGCCCCTGGGGCTCTGGGGATGTCACAGGCCAAGGGTGGGGGCGATGCAGGGTGGGCGGGGCTCACCAGAAGCTGTGGAGGTGGAGGCCTGGTCGTCCTCAGGCTGGCCCGTCTGCCGGAGCACGCGGTCGATCTCCAGAACGTCCATCCACTGGCTCAGCTCGTGCTTGAGCTCCGCCAGCCGCTGCTGTGTGGCAATCTTCTCCCGCGCCAGCCGCTCCATCTCATGCTCGTATTCTTTCTCCTTCCTCTTCAGGGACTGGAGAACAGGGCAAGTAACAGCAGGATACCTTGAGCAGGAGCCACAGGGCCCATGGTACTGCCAACATCTCCTTCACCCACCCTCATCTGCGGATCGGGGCCCAGGCTGCCGGAGACCACACCAGCCTCTTGGTCCATGGCTCCACCTAAGAAGCATCTGGAGACAGACTGCAGGCTCTCAGGCAGGTGTAGATTCAGGCCAGTCCCTCCCCTACCCCCACATCGACTCTGTCCTGAGGGGCTTTGATGCCTTGTACCCCATCCACCCTCTTGGGAGCATCTCCCTCCATTCTGCAGAGAAGGGCAGAAAGTGTAGACTTCTCAGGCAGTGCCCAAGGCCTGCACTGCCGTTCACACCATCCTGTCGCTACAGATGCGGATACCACGAGCTACCCTCCGTGGAACCCATTCCTCAAGGCTCCCCAGACGATCCTGCCCTTTGTCCCTTCGCCACTCACTCGTCTCCTGACTTGCGCATGTCCTCCCCACGGTGCCCATCTGCGCCGCCTGGCACACCGCTCTATTCCCACACTCCCCAGGCCCCGGGATGTGGCCTTCCTTCCCCACCTGCACCTGAGTGGCATCGGCCACTGAGAAACAGCTCTTGGGAGGACAGCTCCTCACTCGACCTGAGTTGCCCTGGAGAGGCTCCTCCCCGCTTGACGCTGAGGCCACCCACATCACTCAGAACACCGGAGGGCGCTCCTTGTCCGCCGCCACCCAGACTGGGGCACGCTCCCCCATCAGAAGGGTCTCTAGTTTCCCTTCGCCCAATGCTTGTTTGCAGCTCTGGAAGGCCAGCTCCTGTCCTGTTCCTCAACTCCCTTCTGCACTGTCTTTCCTTGTTCTCTGTGACCTCCTGTCTGAAACTTTATTACCTCCTCACGCCTCCAGGTCTCACCCGCTGGAGCTCCTCCACAGCCCAGCCCCCTCTCACGCCCTCTGGGTATACCCGCCTGCTCCCAGGCTCGCAGGTCTTGGGAGTGGCACCCCGCACCGCACTGCCCCCCACCCCAAGCGTTCAGGGAGACTGCCAGCCTTAATGAGACTGACACTGGCCCTCATGACCCCCTTGATATTTCCCATTTTGTTTTTTCATCTCAACACATGCTGTCCCAGTCCAAACCCGTGAGCAGAGGACACACTGTTCTATGGTTAGCTTACACCCCGTGACACTGCTGGTGGCCAGGACACAGCCACGGGTGACCTCTTGGCCAAGCACCTGTGAGGACTAGAGGGTGTCAGTCCCCACCTCTACCACATCTCTCCCCATCATCACAGGAGAATCACAGTCTCTCATTAGACTTGAGCTTCCCCTGATTGCATTTCCTTTGGGCAGTTTTGCAACAGCCTTTCCCAACGGTTCACCTGACCTCCTGGGCACAGCAGGTCGTCAGCTCCACACAGGACTAGGCCCAACTTCCCCATGCTCCCTCCTGAGCCCCATTCTCTCTCCTGCAGCCCCCCGCCACGCTCCTTGCATTCCTGGCCTCATTGGTCAGAGATGCCTCAAGCCATGAGTGCCTGTGACATGTAGCCCAGACACGGCTGTGCTGTGCACTGACCTGAGAGCCGGCAGCTTTACACTTTTTACACTTGTTGCCAGTCCCAGGCCACACTCAGCCTCCTCTATCACCCTGGCTCCGAGATTAACCTGCCTCCCCCCCAACATTTCTGCCAGAAAGCTCCCCCACTGCCCCACTCCCCCCACACACACCCAGCTTCTCCCTGAGAGGCCAGTGCTAGACAGGCCGTCGGAAGGGGCCACGACGATCACGAGGTGTGGGGTGAGTCAGCCCTCAGGCCTGTCCTGAACTCTGTGCACTAGCGGGGCTGGCTGACTGCCGGCTCAGAGAGAATTAATCAGGAGCCAAACCCCTTCTCACCTAGTCCAGTTCTCCGGGTCTAGACGTCCCTGGAAAGTTTTCCCAAGGTCTAACTTTTGTCCCTATTGTTTCATTTTAAGCCCATTTCCTTTCTAAGAAGACTGGATGTGTTGTTTGGTACCTGCCTACCCTACTTCCTGTTTCTGTCCACTTCTCTGAGAACTTTCTTCAAATCCTTTACCTCCAAGGCACTGTGGCTCTGGCTAGGGGCTACAGCCTTCCCAAAGCACACAACCTCCCTCAGCACACAACCAAAGTCCTCAGTCTCCACTTCCTCTGTGGTCTCTCTGGTACCCCCTTCCAACTCCTATCTCAGCATAGCAACTCTCCTGACCACGTTCAACTTCCAAAATGCATCTTGCTCCCTTCTACTGTAAAAACTCTGGCCTGTGCTGGGTTCTCTGCCCCGCACTTGTCTTGGTCACCCTGGCCTTCAGGCCCCAGCTCAAAGGCCCTTTCCTCAGCAGCAACTTCCCCAACTCCCCAGAAAACATGCTGTGACCCCTGTCCAGACTATGCCCTTGGAGCAGATTCCTTTGCTTGGTTATTCTATAATGTGCAGTAAGACCAAACCTAAAGACAGAAATCTGCACTTTTTCCCTTGCTCCCCACTTTTTATCTGCCCAATCAGACACAGGCCTGTCCAAAAAACCCTGAATGAGTGAACGGATAAATGAAGTTGAAGTTTTATGGAGAACCTTGTTAAGTTTCCCAGAATTTCTCCTTCGGTTGCCAGCCCCAGGACAAGTATCTTTTACCGACTGCTAGGGTCCACCTTGCTTCCCACTCAGGCCAGGCCCGTATCCCAAATCTGCTGGTTCTACTGAGTCTCTTATTTCTGGATGTACTTTCAAATCCACCATCTCGCAGTCAAGGCTTTCCACCCTAAGTACGTCTATACAGAGAGGAACGCGAAACGCGCCGTTCCATCCTTCTTCCTTCTCAACAATTGCTATTAAGTTACTGTTTACAAATGGCCAATCCTCCTCACGTCTTACCACAAAGATACTAATACTTTTTACCACTTTAGTATCATCGCAGTACAAGATGAAACCGATATTCACAGAAAATGTCGCAGAATTTAGGCAGGAGTTTGCTCCCAGGCTACATGATTTCCTGTAGCTGAAGGAGTAGCAACTTCAGTCTCCAGCCCGAGTTCTGCAGAAACATCCCAGAAAACACCCTCCCGGAGATCCTCTGAAACTCGACGCTGGGCCCCCTCCCCCCTTCCCCTTCGCGGCCACCAACGAGGCCCCGCCCCTCCCGGAGCACGCGCGCACCCACGCGGACCCGGCTTTGCTGCGTCACTCCCCACTGGCCGCACCCTCCCTCCGTGCGCGCAGGAGTCCCGCCCCCTACCCAGCCCCGCCAATCCGCGGACCCGGACCCGCCCCTCCCGTGCCGGGAAGCGGCCTGGAGTCGCGCCAGCCCCTCCCCCTCGTCCGGAGGGCGGGCGGAAGGGCGCGCGTTCGCGGGAGGCCGGGAGGGAGCTGGGAGTAGTCCCGAGGCTGCGCCTCCGCCCGCCTCCTTCGACAAGTCAGGCTCCGGTTACCTCAGGGCTGTGACCCCGCAGTCGAAGCCTGGCCCACCTGAGCTGTGACGCCGCCCATCTCCTAAGCTTCCCTAGAGCGCCGACTGGGAGACCCCGAAACTGCCCCCGCAGTCCGGGAGGCCCAAGTCCCTCCCACTCCTCAACGGCTACCTCCCGGCTCCGCGGCAGCCGAGCGTGGCCGCCTGCCCCACCCCCACAGACTCCTTCCCGGCCCGCGAAACCCTCGGCCGGTTTCCAGGGAAACCGAAACTCGGGCCGTCATGGCAACGGTCTTATCTGGCGGGCACCCCCCCTTTCCCGTACGGCCGAGAGGAGCCACTGCCAAAGGCAGGGGACACACGGCAAGGAGGGCCCCTTGAAAAAGGGCTTCTTTTAAATCCTGGGGGAGGCAGAACATAAGGTTTTAGGTTCAGTGACCCCCCACCCCGGACTACTGTCATCCAGAGTGCCGCATTTCCCCTTCCCCAAGGTTTAATCCCCAAAGTCGGGAGGTGGCATCTATGTGCGCTCAATGCAAGGATCTTGATCCTTTGGGGCTAAAAGTCCGGGATGCACGACGGGGTGGGGCGTGTTTCATGGGTTCCGCTACGGGAAACGAGCCACGCCCGGCACCCCTCACCCCCTACGGTAGAGTCTCGTGCCGAATCGGTTCCCGCCCAGTACTGCGGGCACGAAGGAGGCACCGGTCGCCCTACGTCCTTCCCATTCGCTGAGCAGTAGCGCGCGGCAGGCGGTAAGGCGGGGCGGGTTCCGGGCTGACACCGAGTCGCGGGGGCCGTGCGGATGGCGGGGCTCCGTAAGGCCGCCCAGCGGGGGAGGGGAGCCGAGCGCCACCGCCGCGCTCCCCCGCGCGTGCGCGCTGGTCACACCGCCTCCACCCGGGTGGGGAGCCCCGCTGACGTCAGCCGGGCCATGTGCTCGGCGCCCGCGTGGAGGCGGGCGGGGCCGCGCGAGGGGGAGGCGGGGCGTGCAGGCAGCCTAAGCGGCGGCGGTCTCCCGCCCTCCTCTGGGCCTTGCTTCTCCCCCCCAACCTCGCATACCTGAATGTACCGCAGCGCCGTCCGCAACACGCTCAGATTCGATGTCTTCTTGTCGTCCACGTTGGGGATGTTGCGCTTCAGGGTCTCAAAGCATTCCTTGAGATGGGCCCTCCTGGGGAAAGGGAGCAGGGCCGGTCAGCCAGCGCCAGGGGCGGGAGGGAAGGTCCAAAGAGAGCTTGGGGACCAAGGATGGGACCTTCCGGGTAGCTGGCGGGGCGGGCTCATTGTCACAAGCTCACACACACACACACACACACACCTGTTCTTCTCCAGCTTGTTGTGGACTTCTCTGGTTCCGATTCTGAAATCCAGACAGACAGGGAGCTCAGGGAGGAGGGCCCAATTAGGTGGCCTTCCCACCCCCTGCCCCCACCCCTCCCCAGATGCCACAGGCTTTTTGTCCCTGACATCCTCTCTCTAGAGAAGCAGCCCTGAAAACTGTTGGCCCTGTGTCCTGGTGCATACACCCTCTGGAGGGCACGGGTAGGCTCATAATTCACAGCCCCTTCATATTCCACCTCACCCGTGCACCTGTGAAGGGCTCCTGGGATTGGGAGAAATAGCCAGTGGACCCTGGCCCTCACCCAGGAGGTCCAAAGGCCTGGTGATGCCATTAGCCCCAACTTTGGAGGGGATCAGAGAAGCCTGAGAACAATAGAGGGCAATGACCATTGCCCACTCCCCAGGGTGGGAACGGTCCCAGCACAGTGAGAAGATATCCAGATACAGGAGGGTGCGGCTCTGATAGGGTAACGGGGAGGGCACTTTCTCTTGCAAACACAGCCCCAGCTGTGGGCAGTTCTCTCCATCCCACCAGCCCCCACTCTGCCACATCTCACTCACCCCCCAGGCCTCTTCTTCTGTTCACTGGATTTGACTTCTTCAGCGGGTGCCAGCTTCAGGGTCCCAAGCGTGGATGGAGGTGGCTGTGGGGGAGCCAGCTGGGGCTGGACTCCGGGGTGTGGCGCAATGGTCAGGATGGGGGTGGGCAGGGGCTGCAAGGGCTTGGGGCTGCCAGTGGGCGGAACGGTGGCCTTGGAGTCCGGCAGGAGAGGAGCAGGAGTGGGCACCTGCGGCCTGGTGGGAAGGGGGGCAGGCTCCTTAATGCTGAGTCCAGGGGTGCTGACCAGGGCTGGCTGGCGAGGCGCCAGGGGCAGAGGCTGGGCCGTGGGAGGTAGTGGCGGGGGTGGGGGCAGAGGCTGAGGGGAGTTGGTCACTACTGGAATAGGAATGACAGTCAGTGGGGTGGGGGTGGCCAGTGGTGGCGGGGGGGCCGGCGGAGGGGCCGGCGGTGACAGAGGCAAGGGCGGTGCCTCAGTGCGGGGCTCCTCCACTGGCATGGTGTGGGCCAGCCGCGCCAGGCTGCTGGCCTTCTTCTGCTCCTGTTCCCTCTCCCGCTCCAGGCGAAGCCTCTCCTGTTCCTCTGCACAGAGAGAACACAGCGGTCTCTCAGTGGGGCCTGCCATCCTGGGCGCCCCAGCTCCCCTTGTCCTCCAACTGGAACCCATCCTGACCCCACGCCAGGCAGCACCCATGACATCACAAATACATACACTCACCCACACCCAGCCAGGCACCGGGCACAGCAGTGAACAAATAAAACAGACTCCTGGTCCTTGCTGTTGAGGAACTCATAGACCAGGGGAGGAGGGGCATAGGACAAATCACAGGATTAACAACCCAGGTTGTGGGAAGAGAAGGGCTATGGAAAGACAGAGAAGAAGCTGTCAGTGAGGGTGCAGGAGGGGGCCTGGCACACTGCAGGTTGAAGTGTCAAGCAGGTGATGGGCAGGGGCAACAAGGCTGAGGGAAAGGAGTGGTAGATGAGGTGGAGAGAGGCCAGTCCACAAATGATCTCACAGGCCACCACAGGAGAAAAGAAAGTGCAAGTCGCTCAGTCATGTCCAACTTTTTGCAACCCCATGGACTATCCAGGCCAGAATACTGGAGTAGGTAGCCTTTGCCTTCTCCAGGGGATCTTCCCAACCCAGGGATTGAACCCAGATCTCCCACATTGCGGGCAGGTTCTTTACCAGCTGAGACACAAGGGAAGCCCAAGAATACTGGAGTGGGTAGCCTATCCCTTCTCCAGCGGATCTTTCTGACCCAGGAATCAAACTGGGGTCTCCTATATTGCAGGTGGATTCTTTACCAACTGAGCTATCAAGGAAGTCCCACAGGAGAAGAGAAGAGGCAGTCAAATCCTAGAATCTGGGGAGCTACCTTCTAGAGGGCAGGCATTACCTTCATTTCACAGATGAGACAGATTAGCTCTAAGAGGCAAAATGATTTGTTGAGGGTCATACTGCAAATACACACACACACACACGCCCTACACCCAGTTGTCTCACAAAAGCCCCACACTGCAAGCAAGGCAGGGACATCACCTTCAGCCCACACATGAAACAAGGCCCAGGACTCAGGACTGCCATGCTAGGTCCCAAAGCCTGTTTCCTTAATCAAGGTCTATACCCCAAATGCACCTGGTCCTTCTCTGCCCTTGGTTGTGCTGGAACTTATTCCATCACCACCAGCAGCAGACTAGAAAGGGAAGAGGCAAGCAGAAAGGAAAGCAGGGCTTTTTAACAGGGGTTGAACAAGGCAATGAATTCCGACAACCTTGCACACCTCAATTCAGCATCTCCGCTGAAAGCCCCACCAGAAGGGGAGGCCTGCTCAGGGCTGGGCTGAGAACAGGGCCAAGGGAGAGACCCCTCCTGATCGAGACGCCCCTCTCCATCCCCACCCTGCCCCATCCCCTCCCAGGCCCCACTATTCCAGTCCCCTGGCTATAGGCTGGGGCCAGGGCCCTGGGGAGCCACTGAAGCAGCCCCACCACCCCGCGGGCCAGGGAGCAGGCCAGCCCTCCCCGCCTGCCCGATTCACCACACTGCTGAGTAACAGAGCTGACAGCACAAGGCGGACACGCCCCAAACACACCACCACCCACAAGGGCTGGGGCTGGGGGGGCAAGGTTGGCCAAGTGCCCCTGTAGGGGAGGACAGCATCACCCTCTCCACAGGTCTTTGGGCCAGGGACCCCAGAAAACATGCGGCCTCAGGGCCCTTTGGCCAGTCAACCACTGGTGTGTGAGCCAGGCCTGCTCAGAGTCCCTCCCTCCTGCCGAGAAGAAGAGGCGCAGGAGGAAGTAGGGGGAAGTGTTCTGAGAGGGGAAGCGCTCAGTGGTTTCCCAGCAGCCAGCATTCAAGGGCTGGAGTCGGCAAGCGCAGCCTCTTCCGTGTCTCCCCTGGCCCCTCAGGAAGGGAAGCTGCCCGGCCTGCTCCAGCGGGCTCCTTTACGCCACCAGCGCTGGCTTCCTTTGCGGCCCTGGAGAAACCCCCCCCTCCCCACTCCACGCGCTCCCCTTTCCACACTGGGAAAGAAACCTGCTGAGTTCAGTCAAGGAGACCTTCTCAGGCCCAGCCCAGGACACCCCTAGTCCACTCCGCACCTCCCCAGACCCCAAGCCCAAGACAAGGTCCCAGAGCTCAGGGCCCAACACAGCCCTACCTCCATTCCTTTGAGGCAGGACTTGGGCTTTCACTGGCCTCGGGGCAAGTGAGCCCCTCTCCCACAAGCAGGGGGACAGACACGGCCTCAGGACCCAAGGTCAGGCTCTCTAGGAACCCAGAATGGAGGCAAACCTCAGATTCCCCGTATTTCCTTTCCTGTATTCCCCACATTTTAAGGCAACTCCAAAGCTCCACCAGAAGATGGCAACCTTCTCATATACCCTCTCTTCCGGAGTCAGGCAGGTGCCAGGCTCACAGGTGCCAGGAAGGGCCCAGGTTGAATGGCCAAGCTCTATCACACCTGGATCAGCATGAAAAAGCTTAACTGGCGCTGAAGAGGGGGGCAGTCCAGGCCAGATCCAGCCCACTAAAGCCTCCTGCCTCCTCCGGGCCTGTTCTGACCCATCCCTTGCCCAGTATCGACCCTTCTCCTGTGCACTGGGAAGAGGGAAACAAAGTGGGGAGGGCAAACGAGTTTTAGCAATATGGGTTTAAGCTCTTTAATGCTCTGCTGCACCCTTAGGTGCACCCCTCTTCTCGTTCCCATACATGCACACACATACTTTGGCACCTTCCCTGGACTCTGCCCAGAAGCTGCCCCCAGAGAACTGAGCACCACCCTTCTAGGTGACCCAGGGGCCAAGGCTACAGCCCCCAACGGAGAGTACAGGCTTTGAGCTTCCCCAAAGCCACTGTGGCCCAGGACCTCAGCCAGCACACAGCTGGGGCCAGAGGAGACCATATCAGGGGCCTCCCAATGTTCAGGGGAGTTCTCACCTTCTACATGTAATAAGGAGGTTGGTGCAGAAGGCAGGCACAGGGTGGGACCAGCTCAAAAGAGGGTCTCATTTGAGTCAACTTCTATAATTGATAGAAATGACCAGGCCTCCATGCTGGCCACCAGGACGGCCTCGCCCTTTCCTCTCTCATGTACCAACATAAAGGTGCACACACATCCTTGGACTCATCATGTGAACAAAAATAGCTGGTCTAGGTCAGAAAACAGTCACTTGAGGCCTGAAGTTGAATGGGGGCCCGGACAAGAGGATCCCTGTTCAGGGCTGCCCATCGGGTACACATCCCCCGGAAAGCAGTTCTGGTCAGCAAGCTCCCCAGCAGCACCCCCACTTCTCTTCCATTTCTCACCACCCCAACTTAGAGAACAAAACCCCTAGTAGGAGCAAAACATGAATTCTAGAGATTAGGCTGCTGCAGCCAAGTCAAGCTATCTGTACATGAGTTTGGGGAGTAAATCTGGCTTTCCAGCATCCATCCATCCATCCCTTAAGACCACCTGCTCTACCAACAAGAAGCCTTAACTGCCTGCCTCTAGTTCTCACCACCTGAGGGAGGGGCAGGGCACTACAACTTCTTATCAGAGAGCCATTCCCAGGTTCCTTCCAAGTGTTGCAGACGTCATCCTTGTGATTCTTACTCTCAGCTCTGGACTGACTTATTTCGGAAAGGGTGGTAGACATCGACAGTGAGCATTTTCTCCCCTCCCTCACACGGCCAACCAGCCTGCGGGGTAAGTGAAGGTGAAGGGAGTGTTCCTTTGGTCAGTCCTGCTGCCTCCAGCACAGTGGGCGGTACACAGTGTGGACACAATAGGGACTCCTTAATTGCACTGTGGATGGCGGTAGCAGGTGACTCAGTCTCTCCAAATCTTGTGCACGCTCCTCCCCGAGCCGCTGGTCCCGCACGCAGGACAGTCTCGGTCGCCACCCGCACTGTCCACCGCCTGACCCTGATCTGGACCTCGAAGAAAGGGGGAGGGGCGCGTGAGCCGACGTCCTGACCCCTCAGTTCCGAAAACCCAAGCATTCTCAGTCTCGCGTATCTCAAGTGACTCTTGACCTTGAGAGGCCGGACGAACCGACTCGGCCGGCGGACCCGCGGCTCCCCCGCCCCTGCCCGCCGCTACTCCCCCCGCCCGCCGCGGCGGCGATACACGCTGCAGGCGCGCGCGCGCGCACCACACACTACTACCTCCTGCATGACTCATCATTGAAGCAACAATAGGCAGAAAGGAGAGGAGGGCGAAGCACTCTCTCCACCACAACCCACCCGACCGGGGGCTGGGGGCAGTGGTGGAGGGGGCAGCAGTCCCCGGATACTGCACACGCCGCCGATCCAGGGCTGCGACCCTCGCAGCAGTCTGGAAAACGGAGGTCTTCCCCTGGCCCCTATTTCTGCAGCACCCTGAAGCTGAGGCCACCAACAAGGGCGCGTGGGGATAAGGGCATCTGAAATCCCCTTATCGAGAGAGCACCAAAGTTTGCCCCTTCTTGCCCGGCTCATTTCACTTCGCGGTCAGAGGTGCTGCCAGGGGGTCCTGGTGAGAACGTTTTGGCGGGGGGGGGGCGGTTAGTGGGAGCATGTGAACTCTATATATCCTGTCGCTCGGCGATTCTGAGGGTTTCCCTCACCCCAGGAGCAAAAACGGGAGGTTGGGGCGAGAACCGACAGGTGAGCTCGGCTCCTCCCACGTAGGGCAAAGGCTCTACCAGGCAGATGCCCAGCGGCCAGAGCCAGGGCCCAACCCGGCGCAAGGCCCCTCGTCAGCCCCGCCCCGGCCCCGCCCCCGGCCGAGCGCTAGGCTGCGGGGAGGGGCTGGGCCGCGCTGTCCCCAGCGGGAGTGTCCCCCGTGCACGTGGTCGGGGGCGGGGCCGGTCCACGTCACCACCCGGTGTAACCAACGGGCTTGGAACGCAGGCACACGCAACATTCCAGCCGAGAGCGGGTCTGGAACGCGTAGACACGCCACATTCCACACCGGCTAAAGTGGGGCGCAGCAAGGGGGGCCCGGGGTCTGCCCCCAGCGACCTGCGGGCCGTCTCGCAGATGTCCAATCAGCCCGGCTCTCACCCAAACCCCTGTCGCGCGACCCAGCCCAGCTTTGGGAGGCGGGGTCAGGCGGGGCTGGCCAGGATCATAAGACACGCGATGTCATTTCATTCTGCAAAGGCCGCCTCCGCCCCAAGCGGCGCGTAGATCTGCCGGGAGCGCCCCCCGCACCCTCCCCACAGGGCCAGGGAAGCCGGGGAGCTGCTCCGCGTAGAGTAATTCCACCCTCACTCCGTTACACACACGCCCACTCGTGTGCACTAGACACTCGCCCGTGTACACGTCCGTCCATCCGCTCTCATCGAGGTTCGCATCACACATACCCCCGTGCATACACGCACACACGCGCTGGTCTACCACCCCCACGCAACACCATTCCGCACCCCACCCCCCCGGCTCGCACATCTTCATCCCAACCGAGGGCACAGCTGGCCCACAGGAAAAGAGACCCCCCATGAAAGGTGCACAAGAGGTGGTAGGCAGTTGGGGTGGCGCCTACCGGAGCCGGGTTCCTCGCTGCATGTTAATGAATTCATTAATTAATTTCACTGCCCACAACACCTCCTCCCCGGGCGGCGTCTCTTGCGCGGATCTTTGCACTGCTCGGCTTCGCGGGCCGCCCGGGAGCGGGTACCGCGCGCGGTTTCGCGTAGGCTCGGGGACCGGGGTCGCTCGCCTCCCCTTCCCTGGTGCCCCAGGGGCCCAGCCCGGCCGCTCACCACGTGCTCTCTGTTGTTGCTGCGCTTGCCATTCCAGGAAGCGGGCCGCCTCCAGTAGCGTCTCTATGCTCATCGCTCCGAGAGCTGCCGGGGGCGCGCCGGGGCCGAGACTGCGGCCCGCGAGCCGGGCACAGGTCAGGCTGGCGGGCAGGCAGGAGGGAGGGATCACCTCCGGGGGGCGACAGGACTGGGCGGCGCAGCGCACTCCGCAGAGAAGAACGGGGGAGCACAGGAAGAAAAATCAATGTCTCCCCAGATATTTGCAAAACGTAATTTGCAAATTTAAAAAAAATCTGATGCAAAAAAAAAAAGGCGGCACCGCCTCCCTCCTTCCCCTCCCTCTCTTCCTCTCTTCTGATGCCTCCCGCCCCGCGGCCCCCAGGAGTCCCGCCGACAAGAAAAGGCTTTGCAACAAGATGGCGAGGAGACACAGACACACACAACAAGGGAAGGAGCCGCGCTGCCCCCGGCCGCCGCCCCCGCTACTACACCGGGGCCGCAGCCAAAGCCCGGACCGGAGCCCCCGCCCGTAGGGCCCCGGCGTCTCTAGAAGGGAGGGGCGGGGCCCCGGGCGGCCTGGCCCCGCCCACTCGAGACCGCGCGCGCACACGTGGCCTGGGTGGGGGTGGGAGAAGCTCCAGCCGGGTTCGCGCCCTGCATTTCCGCTCTCCCGCCTCGCCCCGCCCCGATTGCAAGCCACAAGTTGAGCAACGGCTGCGTGTTTGGGTCATTCACAACGAAATTTGTCCTGCTGGAGGTAAAGGAGGGTGAAAAATTCAGGACTTAAGTTTAGCTCAAATAAGAATATTCCAGGTCAGGGAAACCTAGGTTGGTAAAGACTGGCCTGACCCTTGGGTCTCCGCTTTCTACCTACACGTGACCTAATTCCTGCAACCACCCGGCTGTCGCAATTCCCCCGGGATCCGCCCCTGGGCGGAGCTGACGGCTGGAGGCTGCCAGAGAACCCGCGAAGGGAGCGGAGTGGAAATCCGATTCCGCGTTTTGTCTCCGTTCCTCCCCCCGCAGTGCGTTCGCATCCTATTAGGCGACGTCACCGGGCCGCGGGCCAATGGGCGGGCAGGACAACACGGCATGGAGCAGCTCCACATGGACACCCCGCGCCGCCAGCCCTGTGTTTAAAGGGCCAGTGTCTAGCAGGGTCACATTCGCGGGTGCGGATGGGGCCACTGTGTAGAGGGTAGGACGCTGAGAGGGAAATTCTACAGTTGTGCCCTACCTGCTGTTTACTTTTCACCTCTCCTTTTAAAAGTGAGTCTCTTTCCTTCCTTCCCCTAGACTCTCGTCTTTGTCCACGCTCGTCTGATGCGGGTGGAGAGTCCGACTGTGTCTCCCCAGAGGCCGCCCTTTGCTCTGGGGCCGGGCTCAGGGCGGTTACGACTTAGGCGTCCACAGCCCAGACCAAGGGGGTGTGGTGCAAATCGGGAACAACAACGTGGAGGGCGGAAGCCCGGCCCTCGCAATGGCTGGACTACTGAGGCCGCGGGGCGGGGCCACTCCGCCAAGCCACAACCGCGCTCGCCGCTGGGGCGGGACCCGGACTGGCACGCCCAGCGGTGGCTGCTTGTGTTAGAGTTTGGGGCCGCCTGGGGTTACAGTTAACAAGTTAGACCTTTGAGGTCAGCCCAGGTGGCTGAGTGGTAAAGAACCCACCTGCCAATGCAGGAGACCCGAGTTGAATCCCTGGGTGGGGAAAGATTCCCTGGAGAAGGGATTGGCAACCCTCTTCAGTATTGTCTGGGAAATCCCGTTGACCGAAGAGCCTGGTGGGCTACATTCCATTGGATCGCAAAAAGAGTCGGAGACGACTTAGCCACTAAACAATAAAACACCCTAATTCTCTCACTTTGCAGTTAAGGAAACTGAGGTCCAGAGATGAGAAAGGACTTGTCTAAGGCCACTCAGTAGTCCAGTTGCTCCTTGCCGGGTAGAAGGAGCATTTATCCCAGACGGCACAGATGACTCTTCTACAGACAGTTCTCGGTCAGTGTCCCCAGTTAGAAAACAGTGGTGGAGGAGTATCACACTGCTCACATGGGAAAGAGGAGTCTGACCGCTTAACATTGCTAGACACATATAAAGCTGGTACACATGATGCTTCCTGGCTTCGTGCCTTTCCTTTGAGGGCATAATGTATCCCAGGGAAAGAAAGTCTGCACAGACTCTGGAAATTGAGAACCTAGTAAACAGGAGGAAAGGGGTGTTTGCCAGCACCAGTTTACAGAGGGCTCTTATCTTTCCACAGTTATTGCCCCAGCACCTGTAGCTGAGCAGAGAGAGGCCATTACACACAAGTGACTGGGTGGCACTGGGTTTATTTATGACGAAGTTGAAAAGCAACAGGGGATCAGAGCATTAAATAACAGTCAAGTTCTTTGCAGGATGAATGCTTCTTTCCTTGGAAGGCTAGATGAGTGCTGGTCCCAACATTGCTTCTTTTAAGATATCTGCCATCTGAGACTGTATGTATGTGTGTGTGTGTGTGTGTGTGTGCACACACGCGCGTGCGCGCACATGCTCAGTTGCTTCAGTCACGTCCGACTCTTTGCGACCCCATGGACTGTAGTCTGCCAGTCTCCTCTATCCATGATTCTCCAGGCAAGAACACTGGAGTGGTTGCCATGCCCTCCAGGGGATCTTCCCGACCCAGGGATCGAACCCGAGTCTCCAGTATTGCAGGCTGATTCTTCACCCACTGGGTGTATATATATATACATATGCTTCCCAGGTGGCTCAGTTCTGGCCTGGAGAATCCCATGGACAGAGAAGCCTGGCGGGCTACAGTCCATGAGGGTGCAAAGTCAGACACAACTGAAGCGACTTAGCACGGACACACATTATATGTATACATGAAATAGTCTAATGTATATCTAAGTGACTTAAGATAACTTTGTTGGCCAAGTTCTCATTTTGTTAGGGGCTAGCACTGTACCATTCTGCCCAGTGGCCCGGGATGCTCAGAGAGCTACCTCTAGCTGTACCCTTCTGCCTTCCTCAAGTGGTCATGACATGCTTACAGTCCTGAAGTCTCTTCTGGCGGTTGAAGTCCAATTCTTCTGACTTATCAGGGACCCAGCTCTGTCACATCACAAAGGCACCCCTCTGAAAAGTAGTGTTCTGAAGACAGCTTTGCCTTCAGGGGTGGGGAAGCAGGAGGTAAAAGTGGGGTGAACACAGAATTCAAATGCCAACCTCTCCCTTGTCCCCAATAACCCATCTGGTCAGGAGATTAGTGGAGATGCTCACTGTTTAAAACAAACAGCCTTCCCGGCTTCACATGATCATCTGTTTATTTGGGTCATGTGGGGACAGCAGCCAGGGGATGTTAGGCAAAAGCAAGGGTTTAGAAAGGAGGCTTTTCCTGGGCTTGTTGCTGCCTGCAGGAGCCTGAAAATGGCCAGACAGGGTTTCTCATCAACCAAGGTTACTCTAGTTGGGGAATGGACAGTGGGGGTGAGAGATACCATTTAGGTTTACTAGTAAGGGGGCGGGTAAAAGGAGAGGAATGAATAGGGCTGTTTAATGTTTTAGCCCAACTTCCTGTTGCAAAAGGGTGGAACTCAGGTAGAAGCTGGCCGCTGTTGTATTCATTCAGGGGGAAGTCTTTTTGATGTTTCAGCAGAAAGGTTAGCGTGTTTGGGGTGTAGGCCAACGCCCAGCCATTTCCAAAAAGCTGTTCCAAAAGGGCTTCCAGTGCTTAGTATCTTTGGGGCAGGAGGAAACCTGGCGCATCTGTCATTGTGTAATTCTCACGAGAGGGTTTCTGTTTCCACTCTTCTTCCTGAAGTCTTTTGCACCCTAGTGCCCAGTTTAGCCCCCTTGATTTTTCTCTTTTGGCCATGCTGCTCAGCTTGCAGGATCTTAAGTTCCCCAACCAGGGATCAAACCTGGGTCCGTGACAGTGAAAGCGCCAGCCCTTACTACCGGCATGCATGCATGGCTAAGTCATTTCAGTCGTGTCTGACTCTGCAACCCCATGGACTGTAGCCCACCAGGCTCCTCTGTCCATGGGATTGGTTCTCCTGGCAAGAATACTGGAGTGGATTGCCATGTCCTCTTTCAGGGGATCTTCCCAACCCAAGAACTGAACCCGTGTCTCTTGCATTGGCAGTAGATTCTTTACCACTAGCACCACCTGGAAAGCCCCCTTACTACTGGACCACCAGGGAATTCCCAACCCCCTCAATTTTTTAGTATGTGGAGCTAGTGACATTCCTTAATGAGACAGTCTTCCATCGCCCCACCAGTCATCCCAACAAAGCTCTACATATATACACAAATCTCAGAGCTATGAAGATCAGTTCTCTGAACCTACAAAGCCGAAAAGTAATGATAGGGGAACACGTGTGAAGCCAAAGTACAAATATACCAGGTCCCAAGTTGCACATGCCCTAACCCTTCAGGCCTGACTTCTCAAACTATGCTTTTAGGAGAGCTTTTCACCTACTACAGTTAAAACAGCAAAGGGAGAAAGTCAGCTGTGCAATGAAGAGGGAAAGACAGAAGACTAAGTACACTCAGGGACACGCTGCAAGATGTTCACAGATCCTGTGTGTCAAACGTGTGCCAGACACTGGGCTCTCCTTGTAGCCAGGGCCAGGGGAACTTTGGTAAGCCAGAGTGGGATAAAAGGTCACAGAGTTGAACTCAATCCCACAGTGATACATGGAAAAAGTAAAGCTTTGCTCTTTCCCACCATGCTGGATGTAGCACAAGAGATCCTAGGACCATAAAAGCATCTGTGAGGGTACTGATCTACCTATTTTAGAAAGTTACTTCCCAGATAATCGTATTTTTCTAATAAGTGAATTAAATGGATTTAAGGCTGGGTTAGCAAACTGAACCTGATGCCTGACGAGATTAGTCTGAATAATGATGAGCAGGATTCCGAATTACTCTCTTAGAGATGTATCCTATAGGGCATGCGTTCAATTGCAGTAAAGTGGTCTCCCTGGAGCTGGAAGTTTTCACCTAAGTTCTCATCTGCCTCCCTCTACTCCTGGTGAGCTGTCAAAGGACCTCTCCTAAATCTAAGAAACAGATACAGTCAAGTTCAACCTTCCCGTTCACCAACTTCCTCTTCATTGGCTCAGGTGATGTCAGAGCTAGGAGAGTTGTGATCACCTAAATCAATCTCCCAAGTGGTGTTTTATCCAAGGTCACAATGCTGCTTAGTGTCAGCTGGGGTGAGGAGTGGCTTGGTTCTCCTCTATGTGGGACAGCCCAACATAGGGAAGAGGGTCCGAAAACCTCCCAGGAATGGCTGATGATGGGGGAGCTGGCTGAAAACAGAATCATTGACTTTGCTCAGCAGGTGAGTGAGAAGGCAAGGAGAGAATTAAACTTAGGATCCAGGGGCTCAGATGACCTCCGGGACGCTGGAACTGCCTCAAGCTGCTCTGAGGAAT